CGAAACTTTCACAAAAGAGGGATAGCTGCCCAAATACACAATACACAGCACACACACACACGCGAGCAAACACACACACACATACACACACACACACACACACACACACACACACACATATATATATATATATATATATATATATATATATATATATATATTGCCTATTTGCTTTTTCCCTTGTTCCATAAATGTTTTGATTTTTCTTTAATATATATTCGTATATATACGCGTACACACGGACATATATAAAGAAAAATTGCAGCGTAATATATGCTCCTAACCTCAGAATATATGTCAGTAACTATTCATGGCGGCTATTTTTCATATATATATATATATATATATATATATATATATATATATATATATATATATATATATATATATGTGTGTGTGTGTGTGTGTGCGCTTCAGTCTGTCCTTGTGTGAATATATATGGAGTTTAAGTTTAAAAATGTCTGTTTTCTTTATAGCTAATGTTCATTCGGATTATTCAATGATGATTATTGTTTAACTTGCAAAAAAAATGTGTTGTGGATTAAATAAAACGACCCCTGTAACACAATTGAACTAGGCAAGACTCCTTAAATAAAGAACACATAGTGAGTCAAAGAACTTCTGCCAGTTGGGACACAATATTATTAGAGTAGTGAGTTGTACCAACGAGGGATCGAAATACATATTGAGTCGGAAATAGTACATTTTGCTTCGGCGCACATGATAACAGTAACGACGAAAAATTAAAACAAAGTATATTTAATTATTCTTCTTTGCCGTGTGTAGAAAAAAAAAAGAAAAAACGAAGGACGAAAGTTAAACAAATATCCCTTAATATTGAAGAATTATTAGCCCAGGCGGTAAAAATACAACAGCAACAGCGACAACAACAGCAGTCGTTGGAATTCTAGAAACAACAAAATTTAGTTGAAATAATACGGGGTGGGGACGAAAAATTACCCAAGTTCTTTCAATCCCTACGCGATGGGAAAAGCAAACGTTGAATTCATATGCACTTCAAATGATGGAATTACCTTTTCCTGATACGAGCAAAATTTCAGTGAATACTACAGCGTCTGGGAAGAAGAGAAAATAACAAGAACTTTTTGCAAAGTCTGCACCGCTAAAACTGCAATTTTCTACGACCGAGAAAGCAAGAGAAATTTGATTTGAACAAACAGTACATAATCTGACTAAATCTTTTAGCGCTAAAAAATTGTTATTCAATACTAGAGAAAAGTTTAGGAATGACGAATAAGAAGACGATTCTGTCACACGTTGGAATCGTTAACAAGGAAATTGAAAGATTCAAATTAAACGAACTGACTCAGGACATATTTAAAGAGCTAATTTTCGTTCAAAGATTAACAGCGAAAAAAAGACGCAAGTTGTACAGGATAAAAAACTAACACTACAAGAAATATCGGACGGATTTCAGAATCCTAAATCTGAGAAGGGATACGGAAGAAATTGAAGAAAAAGAAAATGCATCATACAAGCTAAAGTAAAATGTGTAAAAATAAAAATAAATCCATGTTTCTGATGCGGAAGGTTGCACATCGGACACGACTGCCCCTTTAAGAATTCAAAGTATTACAAGTGTGGAACAAGGGAACATAAAAAGTCATCCGGTAAAACTAAATCAATGAAAAGTTCTCACAGATAAAATTTCGTACACAGCATTTCGACGGAAAAATAATTACAGAAAACCAAAAGAAAAATTCTGTATGTGAAAATTAATAAAGTGGATTTAATTATTCTTCTACACTACTAGTGACTAGTTGCCTTTTTAGGCAACTAGTCACTAGTAGTGTTGTCGCAATAATGAAGCTTTTCAACCATTCAAAATGGGCAGCATAAGCAGTGTACGTAAATAATAAATAAAACAATATTCATGCTTGTGCTGATATTTCGACAGGGTTAAACGAATACTTAGAATACTAAACCAACTCATTACCAAGTCCAGTGGAAAGATTTGGGAAATTAAACGATGGAATTTTTTTTTTTTTTCGAAGCTGGATCTTTCTGAAGCGTATTTTCATGTACATTATATGTTGAAGAAAGTTCAGATTAATAACTACCAATACGCATAAGGGATTTTATAAGTTCAAACAACTTCCTTCTAAATGAATAAATGCGAAATTGGAATTCAATTCTTCTACAAATTGTGAGGTTAAATGGCCCAAACTCTACTTTAATGTAATTTTTATTTACTCAAATTCCCACGAGCTCAGGTCGGATTAATGTGGGGAGCCCGAGCGCGTACAATCGGGCTAGGAACAAAAATTACCAGCAGTCTCCGCAACCGTCGTTTGCACTAGCATCGGTGCGAGCACCAATCCCTCTCTCTGGTGCAACGAGAGATTTCGGCCTCGGGCAGCTGTTCTTCAGAACCGGGCACCTCCCAGTATAATTTTCCTCGGTTGCGAATCTGCCTTTTGACGGAGCCGCCAATGTGCGCACTCTGCCCAAAGACAGAGACACAACAGAGATAAGATAA